AGAAACGTCTCTCAATAACCTGACCCTGACTTCACACTGGAACTGCCACGACTGGTCCATAAAGCCCTTGGCACTCGGAAGCCTCCTGGCTATTTGTGAGCCCTCTGAGCCGGGCTGTTGGGTTGGTTGGGTGATTTTGGGTGTGTTGTTTTCGGTGCCTGGTCAATGAACCAACACAAACATTCCCGGGCGGAAGAGCCGCGGCCGAACCTTCGCTTCCATGTTGACTTTGGCCAAGGCTGTGGAGACCTCGTTCAGGGGGCTCCTCTGGCCCATGGCTGGGGCTCCAAACAGGGAGGGTAAATAAGTCACACCCAGCATCTGAATTGCAGCAGCAAATGGGTTACGTGTGCTTTGGTTCCCTCCTACCCAAAGGGCTTTAGGAAATCTTAATTTAGGAAATCTTAATTTAAATCTGAGCAACCCCAGGCTGGTGGAAGGTGTCCCTTGCCCATAGAACCAGATGGGCTTTAAGGTCCCTTCCAACCCAAACCATTCTGGGATTCCATAATTCTAAGAATATTTTTTTTTTTTGGTGGTGGTGATGTTTTTTAGGCACTAAATTGTTCAGGTGTAGTGACATTAAGCAAATAAAAAAATGAAGTGAGCCGCTCATTGGGGCTCAAGTAGAGTTGGAGCTGTGCCTTATTTTGTCTCCTCCATGCTTTTCTTGCTGGGAAAAGGCTTCCATCCAGTCTGCATGGAAAAATGAAAAAAAAATTCTAAACTCGGTGTTGTCTTTTGGAGGTCCAGCTGAAAAAAAGAAGAAAAGAAAAAAACGAGTTGCAGATCTTTAGGGATTTTAGACCACTAAAGATAAAATGGTCAGATATCGTGGGGCTGGAAGGGGAAGCACTTGGCCACGTGTGGGAAGAGCTCAGGTGCAGCACAGTGGGCAGGAAAAGGTCCCTGTGCTTGTAAATGTGAGGGGAAACCAAGACATAGTCCAAGAGAGAGATCCAAGTGATTTTTTTTTTTTTTTCCCCCACTCTTTCTGTGGAATACCCCAACCCTGCTGTGACTCGTGGTCATCCTTCAATGACACCCATTTCTCTCCCACTTTTGCACAGAAGGACCTTTTGTTCCTGCCTTTGGAAAAGGGTGTGGTGGTCGGTTTTGCTCTGGTTTCTGCTTAGAGGAAAGAGCTTTCTTGCTGTTGAAGGTGCTGAAGGACCTGGTTTTTACTAGTGGTAATTTTTGATATCTAGGGGCTGAATTTTTCTAGAAACATCAAATCCTGCAAAGCTTTAACTCTTGTGCAGCTTTATTCCAGTATGATCCTTGTGTTTCCCCTCCAATTCAGGATATTCTGGGATTCTGTAGTTTCCTTCTCTGAGTGCCTTTCCAATGCTCTGTAAGAGCAGAATTATTTCCTTCCTTCTGTCCCTGCTTCCAACTGGTTGATAAAAAGGCTCCTTTTGACTTCTCAGAAGTGGAAGGAAATGACACTGGATGACATTTCTGCTTCTCAGTACTTGATGTCTGCAGTACATGATGCTTGATTTCAGGGAATACTGTATTCCCTCTTATCCAAGTGGTACTGGAAATCCAGATTAGTGCCTGGATTTGTGTCTCATACTCTGGCTTCAACTGATTCTAAGTTTGTGTGTGTGTGTGTGTATATATATATGTACATATATATATATATATATATAAAGGGTGCTTTTGTTTTTTCTTTTGACTATTAGTCATATTTCTATATGATCACTTAATGCCTGGCTGCAATTCACATGGTGGGTTGCACCTGTGTTTCTTTGGAAAAAGCTTTTCCTGGGAAGTAGGTGGTTTTTCCCCAGAGGGGACTGGGATGGGATCAGAGAAAAAACAAACTTTCAGATTAGAACTTTAATTTTATGGCAGAAATTACATGTAGGTTCTACCTAGTTTTTGCACAGTAGTATATCTTCCAAACAGTGTCTGGTTTTCTTTTATTGAACTTTGAGTCATTTACTGTAAAAGTTGGAGCGATATAAATAGTTTCTAAGTGATAAAGTTGTGTGCATGTGTGTGTAAAAAGCAGGATGTGAATTTTAATGTCAGTTCTCTGACAAAGGCTTATGAAAAATAAGCATCTCCTCGTTCCTGCTCTGGTCTAAGCTGTGCTGATTAATGGGTGTTGCTGTGGCTGACAATGAACTGATAGAAAAATGATGATTCACATAATTCGAGCTTTGCAGGCTCTGTCAAACACTCATTTCCCCCTTTACAAGAGGTGCTGGAGAGTAAAATGTGAGTTCCTTTAAACACAGCAGTGCTGTGCAATTACACAGCTGAATATTTATAACTGAAGGAATTAGTTCTGTGGATTGTATAGGAAAAGCTTGGCTTTCCCTGAGTATTCCTGGTGTAAACTTCTTCTGAACATGAACAGGGAGACTGGAACAATTTGGGATTTTTTTACATAAATGTTTTTTGTGGTTTTCAGTTAAGCTTCTATCTGCTGGGTTTGGGGTGTGTTATATATGAATTAAAACAATGCTCCAATTTGATTTTTGATATAAACAGTTAAGACTGATTTATCATAAACTCTCCTGGCAGTTGAAAGAGGCGTTACTTTGATTTTATGGGATGTTTTGGTTTAATGGCAGGTGTTAGTGGGGAAAATAAGAGAGAGAACAAGCTCTGTGATCAGCGTCCACGGACACCGTGGGCGAATAACTCGGACCTTTTTGATCTTGTTGACATCATCTGTTAATGATGCTCGTTATTCACCTCCCCTGGAATGTTCAGGGTTAATTAATAGTCCTGAAATCCTCCCAGACACACACACAGGACAGGGACTGGCAGGGAGGCAGTGACTCCACCGGGCTGCTGGCATATATTTGACTCACCCTGGTGACTCCTCGGGACAGTCGCCTTCCTCTTCTCCATGGACTGAGAGCTGTGCCTGGTGTTCCAGCAGGGAGGGAAGGGGGAACCCGAGGAGATCCTTCATGGTTCAGCTGTACAAGTCCCGGGGCTGTTGGCCTGCCCCCGGCCCGGGCACCCGCTGGGTCATCCGCGACCGGCCAGGTGGGTCCGTGTGTGCCCCGGGATGGGACAGCCAGGAGCATGTCCAGCCTGGGATCTCCTGGGAAAACTCAGCTCCAGGAGCTGGGATGTGCGTGAGGAGGTGGGAGGGATTGGGTCTCATAGAATCATAGAATCAACTGAGTTGGAAGGGACCTCTGAGATCAAGTCCAACCCTTGATCCAACCCCGCTGTGGTTCCCAGCCCATG